TCCCCCCACATTACCCCCCCCCCCCACTGGCTAAAAACACAAAGAGCCACAACTGGAATCTCTGCATAAGAGTCCTCCCAGGGGCGGGCTCATGTGTCTACAGAAGGCCAGCTCTATGATCAGCCAAGTGAAGCTGGAGGCTTCAGATGGAGGAGGTGACAGCTGCCACCACCAATTTCACACTGCTCTCACCTCTGACCCTGTACTCACCCCCTCCCATCTTGGAAAAACTAGCTATCCCCTCCCCCCCAGGATGCAGATTGCTGAACTGCCTTTATAGATACCAAGGTGGGAAGGCGCATTAGCTACTCTGGGCTGAGACGGGACAGGGAACCAAGACAGTGGCTTCAAATCACTATGGCAGACACACATGGCACAGCTGCTCCTGAACGGCTGCAAAGAGCATGCCGGACTTTTAAAAATATATAGATACATCTGCCCTTTTTCATAGAGCCGCCTGCCAATTCCCAGGGCAAATCAGTAGCCCTAATCATCTCAGGAGTGTGAATCCAAATGTGTAGTCAAAAACAAAATTAAAATCCTTACAAAAGTTGAGTGAGGCAGTTCACGGGGGGGGGAAGGGGATGCGCAGAGGGGAGCCTTCTAGAAAGCGTACCCCAAAACACAGGATAATTAGTTCCTTTGTGACCTCTGGATAAATCGATACCATTGTTTGAAAAATAAAAATCATTCCATCAGCAATTGTCTTGTGTTATTTCCTCTGGCCCTGGAAGAAACGTCAAAGAAGAATATCAGCTAGAGAGCGAGGGCAGCATGCGTCACGGCCAAAATGTCCATTTTGCTTAAGAGTGTCACTGCCGGGGATGATACAAATTGAGGTGCCCGCTGCCCCCTTCTCAAAATTCTTCTTGAGAAATGTGAGATTGGTATGTTTCTGTAGCACTGACGTGGAGGGAGCCATGACTGCAGTCTGGAGCGTGTGACAATTATTGTGGGGAGGGCACCGAAGTGGATCCCCCCCAGCAAGTGATCCATATCACAGGCACAGTCTGAGCACAGAACTGCCCCATCACGTACAACCACAAACACTGGCTGCTGCGGCAGGGACAGAAGGCACAACACAAACAAGGCCCATTGTGAATATTGGGGGGCATTTTCGTAGTGTTAACTTGCAGTCATGCCCGAGGAGGAAAAAAACAACTAAAATCAAATTTGCCCATCCAGAACCCGACATGGAGGCCTGATGCATGCGCATGCATCCACACACACACACACATGTGAGTTTGTCCTCAACCACAGCAGATCCAGGTACAAATGTGCCTCTACTGAAGTGAATGGATCATCACTTTCACAATAAAGGAGCTTTTCTGCCATCAGCAGTTTGCAGTTCTTAGGGCAGAGAAGCTGCAGGTGTGTTTTCAATCATCAACCAAAGCGCCATTCTTTTTTTAAAAACAAATATCCAAACATTCTATGTGGTGATACTGAATTTTCGTAGCATCGCTAGTTAACCTTAATCTGAAGGATTGTTTCGGGCAAACGAATCTGGGCCATGAGATTTCTGAGGCACACCAAGGGACCTATTCTGTTCTTTAAACCATGGACATACACGGCAGAGCTCATGGTTTCGCTGGGTTTTGTGCCAGCCAACAGATCCCCTGCTAAATTTGGAAAAGACAGCTTTGGTTCTAGCTGGGAAAGCACCACGGCCTACGTGATTCAATCAGGTCTTGGCAGGCCAAAGGTCAGGTGGATGTTTCAGAGTCCAGGAACAGCCTCCCGTTCTCCGGATGCTTTGCTGCAAACTCCACTAGTGATCAGAACAGTCTTGTAGTCTCCACAGGAAAAAAAATGTATACAAATTTAAAAATCCTACAATGCACCATGACCTAAGGTTCCCCCCCCCAGCTAATATTTAAGAAGGCATCAAACAACTGATCCTGATTTAACCTATAAATAGTACCCCAAATGTTTTCCTTTTTTTGGCAGTCCAAAGGCTTTGCTTCTTTGAAATATATATATGTGTGTCTATATATATTTGGCAGAATAAAAAGGCTATGGCTTCCTAAGGCCCAGAGACACGCCTGAGGCCTAACGTGGTATCCTGCGATAGAAGTAGATATAGCCCAGCTCTTTGGGTGGTCGCTCGGAGGCACAGACTTTCAGGTCATTGTAGATCGCCCATCTGAAAAGAGAGAGAGGCAGACAGCGTGAGGTTCCGGAACATAAATTGGCGGCCTAATCCCAGGCAAATTCGAAATGGACCGAGGCCACCCGCTGGTCAGTTCCCTTTTCCCTCTCAAGATTTTCCCTTAAAAGTTGAGACTTTTAATGTTCCCCGCTCCTGGTCCTTCTCCTCCTCCTTCCTCAATGACACTTGCTGGGAACTGGTCAGCCCCTCTCCAAAGTGTGTGTAGCAAGCCGTGTACCCCCCGGGGGGGGGGAGCTCAGCCCTCTTTGTCCTTGAAACAACTGAGAACTTATCACCTGCATTTCGGTGGCAACCCCCAGGTAAGCGTCTTAGGGACCAGTGAGGGCAACTCTTAAGGCAGCGTCTGAGGAAGGGCCGTGTCCGTCTTTCCTCACACAGGGGCAGAGCCAACCGGCTTTTCTGCTGGAGAAAAAGAGGCGGAGGGGGTTCCCTTTGACCACCAGAAAAGGCTATGCTGGTGATTGTGAGGCCGGCACGGACAAGAGCCATGTGGGAATGGGGGCCATAGGAAGGATGAGAATTAGGAGAGACTGAGATGGGGGGAAAACTGGCTGGCACAGTGAGGCACTGTTTTTTTGCCAAGAGCAAAGGCACAGAGACACAAGACCGGCTACCGACAGTGCTGAAAGTGCTACAGTTTTGCCATTAAGTTAGCTGAATGTCTCAATTCCACCTGCTGAAATCTTCAGCAACTATTTGGGAGAAACAACCGACACAGCGGCCAACAGTGCTGCAAGTGCACACTTGCCAGAAGGGCAACACGTGATGGGAAAAGGAGACTGTGACGGGCTCTTACAGGCCACCACCTTGAGGACACCACTCTCTGGGTTTCCCTTACGAGGGACACTGCTAGCTTCGGGTAGTAGCGGGGACCACTTACCCACTGGCTCCGTTCTTCCTTATAAAACTCTCCTGGTTCACTCCAAGGCTTTTAAAACCGGCGGAAATTAGTGACCGGACTCCGTTGTTTAACAGAATAAAGCGGCTTTACTGCGACACCTCGCATTTCCCTCCAGCACAGCCTTAATCAGATACCATATGTTCCATATGTTCCAACAATTAAACCGCCCTCTGGGATTCTTCCCAAAATGTGGCAGTTCCCTATGGCTGTTAACCTCCACCCGCTCTTCACCTCCTCCCTCACTCTCCGTCCCGTTCTCCCCCTCCTGTCCGTTTTCTGTCCATCAACCTCCTGAACATTCCATCTCGCCACACCGCCCTATGTCTGCACAACGCCCTGCTCCAGGTGTTCCCTTTTTGGAATCCGTCACAGAGACAGTGATGGGGAGGAAACCAGGATCTCTGAATACTAGTCGTTCAGTGAAGAAATGAGGAGAAACGCGGCCGAGGTTTTGGGGGAGTGGATCCTGACCATCAGAAGTGGTATCTGGCTCATAAAAACAACCATAACTTAGACGACAGTCCCATTCATTTCAACAGGACTTCTTTCCAAGTGGGTGTTCAGCCCTTTGGAGACCCAAGCTTCGGAACTCTGGCCAACCCTGGCACACTACATACCATCGATAGGTCACAAATCCCCCACACACTCACCTTCCCTCCTTTTTGAGATGGCAAACATAGTGGCCACTCATTGTTGATGTTCCCATGTGACTGACGAACCCGAAGAGCTCATAGCCTGTGCAAGGAAATATCAAGTATGGTCAGCAAGGATGGAATGGCGGCCCTTACTAAAACTTGCAGTGGGGGTGGGGAGGTGTGGAAGTCCTGTACCATTGATGGAAATCGCTTTCATCAGTGTCAATTTTCAGTGGGATCCAAGACCTTATCTACAAATCCATCCAAGTACTTGCCAGAGTTGACACTGCTTCGCTTCCAAGATCTGATGAGATCGGCCTTACCTGGGTTATTCAGGTCAGGAGGGGAGCTTTGACTCTTGAAAACCCCCAAAATTTTGCTGGTCTACAGCAATGTTCCCTCTAAGCTGAGTCAGTGTGAGCTAGCTCACAGCTTTTTAGCCTCTGGCTCAGACATTTTTGTCTTAGCCCAGGAAGGATGGCTCCAGAGCGAACTAATTTATGCAGTAGCCAAATCACTTGCTCACAACTTTGATGCCAGTAACTCACAAAGTAGAATTTTTGCTCACAGGACTCCACAGCTTAGAGGGAACATTGGTCTCCAGGTGCTACTGGGATTGAATCTAGTTATTCTACTGCAGGCCCAACACAGCTACCCTCTGAAACTATCTGACTCACATGAGTCTTCCATAGGCAGACAAGTTCCACAAGCTGGAGAAAGGCTTCCAGCTTTGCTCAGCGGAGTGGTCGGATAGTGGTTTGAGCCACTCCATAATGTGTTGTTCTGGAAAAAAAAACCCTTTGGCAGCTTGCTGGCACAGTGAGGGCAACTCTTAAGGCAGCGCCTGAGGAAGGGCCGGGTCCGTCTTTCCTCACACAGGGGCAGAGCCAACCAGCTTTTCTACTGGTGAAAAAGAGGTGGAGGGGGTTCCCTTTGACAACCAGAAAAGGCTATGCTGGTGATTGTGAGGCCTGCACGGACAAGAGCCATGATTAGGAGAGACTGAGATGGGGGGGAAACTGGCTGGAATTTACCCACAGCGAGGCACTGTTTTTTTGCCAAGAGCAAAGGCACAGAGACACAAGACCGGCTACCGACAGTGCTGAAAGTGCTACAGTTTTGCCATTAAGTTAGCTGAACGTCTCAATTCCACCTGCTGAAATCTTCAGCAACTATTTGTGAGAAACAACCGACACAGCGGCCAACAGTGCTGCAGTGCACACTTGCCAGAAGGGCAACACGTGATGGGAATAGGAGACCGTGATGGGGAGGAAACCGGGATCTCTGAATACTAGTCGTTCAGTGAAGAAATGAGGAGAAACGCGGCCGAGGTTTTGGGGGAGTGGATCTTGACCATTATAAGTGCATCTGGCTCATAAAACAGTCCCATTCATTTCAACAGGACTTCTTTCCAAGTGGGTGTTCAGCCCTTTGGAGACCCAAGCTTCGGAACTCTGGCCAACCCTGGCACACTACATACCATCGATAGGTCACAAATCCCCCACACACTCACCTTCCCTCCTTTTTGAGATGGCAAACATAGTGGCCACTCATTGTTGATGTTCCCATGTGACTGACGAACCCGAAGAGCTCATATCCTGTGCAAGGAAATATGAAGTATGGTAAGCAAGGATGGAATGGCGGCCCTTACTAAAACTTGCAGTGGGGGACTGGGGTGGGGAGGTGTGGAAGTCCTGTACCATTGTTGGAAATCTCTTTCATCAGTGTCAATTTCCAGTGGGATCCAAGACCTTCTCTACAAATCCATCCAATTACTTGCCAGAGTTGACACTGCTTAGCTTCCAAGATTTGATGAGATCGGCCTTACCTGGGTTATTCAGGTCAGGATGGGAGCTTTGGCTCTTGAAAACCCCAAATATTTTGCTGGTCTCCAGGTGCTACTGGGCTTGAATCTAGTTATTCTACTGCAGGCCCAACACAGCTACCCTCTGAAACCATCTGACTCAAATGAGTCTTCCATAGGCAGGCAAGTCCCACAAGCTGGCGAAAGGCTTCCAGCTTGGCTCAGCAGAGTGGTGGGGTAGCGGTTTGAGCCACTCCATAATGTGTTGTTCATCCAAAACCTAGTAAATACCATTTTTAAAATGACAAAAAACTAGAAGAAAATCAGAAACCGAGTATCCCAAAAGAAACTCACGTCCAGACCCATCTTTGATCCTGGGCCCCTCCGGAGCGGATTCTGCAAGGATGTTGGCATTCACGTGGTTCTCCATGTCCATAGCCTCAGAAGTGGTTTCGTTCCCTTCGGGATCTGGGTGACTGAAGATCCAGTCTATTGCATGCTCCAAATTATTATTCTGTCAGTGTAGTAAAAAACAAATAGTAAGATGACCGTCAGCATTCTTCATTGTGGCTTGTATGCATCTGTCATTAAGCAGAACACACACTTGGGCACAAAGAACTGCTGCCAGGTTCTTCAAAAAAACATGCCATGTTCCTGTTCTCTCACCTCCTGAGGCCCTGCTTCAGGTTCCTTGCCATATGAAGCTACATAGATGGCAACCTAAGAAAGGGCTTTCCTGGTCACGCTACCAAAACTTCTGTGGGGAGCATCAGTTAAGAACTGACATTTGAAAACTGACAGGTGGAGAAGAGACAGTTTAGCACTGAGGTATCGGAAGGAGGCAGAGAGGAGTGAGAGGATCATAGCGAATCCCCTTTCAAGCTGAAAAAGGACAGAGCTTCTAGTCAAGAGAAGTAATCCTTGCCCAGTGGAAAGGGAAACAGCTCTAAAAAGTGGAGTGATCTCTGGTCTGTATATATAGGAAGATTTTGGGAATTTGGATGTACGTTCTTGCCTTCTAAACGTGAAGTGTCAGTGAAACTGAGAAACCTGTGCTTGAGAGTTAAAGCAGAAACTGAAAAGAAAGCCTCTCTCCTCAAAGTTTCAAAAGCAATAACACTTGTTGGCAACAATATTAGCTGGATTTAGTGAGATTACAAAGATACCTCAGTTTTTATTATTGATTCACCTCATACATCCTGTCCCTGATCCCACATGACCTCCCCCCCCCTCCAAGTTAAATAAAATATTTTGTTTCTGAACTTGAATGTGCCATTACAGGAGTAGAATATTAGCAGGTAATTTTGTCTCTTCCCCGCCCTCCCAAGAAGAACAAAGGAGGGGGGAAATGGGGGGGGGGAATCAGAAATACATCAGTTTTTTCCCCCCTTGAGAATCTTCCTAATTTAAAAGGTATTGCCAAATGCAAAAAAAAAACAAAAAACCTCCATGGAATTTTTTTTGGTTTGGAATAAGTAAAATACTTCTATGGCATGAATGTACAAAACAGAAATGTTCAGGAGGGCACTCTTATAAAGGGATCTGAACAACATTATAACAGAACTGTCTAAGAGGGCACTTTTACAGGGTAATAAGACTGTAGCATATTACAATATTTTGCTGTATCTATAATCCTGTTTTTACTGCACTGCCCTGAACCTTTGTAATCCACTCTCAGCACTGTTTATGTCATATTGTGCCTTAAGGCAGCTTTTGGTTTGCGTGGTTTCCTAATTTCTGTACTCCAACTCCTACTGCATTGTCACTGGATATCTCGTGCTGTCTTTTCGAACTGTTTCCTGTATTCCGTCATCTGTCCTGAATCTCAATGAGAAAGGCAAGCTATAAACTAAGTGAATAAAATAATGTTACTTTTACAGGTTAGGGAAGAAATTCTTTCGGGGGAGGGGGGGTCAAGGGCTTGAACTGTCTTGACCACCTACAGTGAGCCCTGCCCTCCTGACTGTCCGAGAGTCCTTGGTGTCAAATAATCTGCATGCAATCCAACTATTTCTTCTCATCTACACCTACAACAGGAGATGGCAGCAAACAACTCCCCACAGCAAAAGTACCCAAGGGCTTTCTTGGCCAGATCTCCTGCCGACTGCAGAGTTCCACATCTGGGTAACAAAAATGAGAAGCGCGCATACTGGATGGGAGATAGACTTCTGGGTAGCAGTGTGTGTGTGTGAACAAGAACTTGGGGTACAGGTGGACCATAAGCTAAATTATGAGCAGTCAGTGTGATGCAGCGGCAAAAAAGGTTAATGCGATCTTAGGGTGTATCAACAGAGGCGTAACATCCAAATCGCAAGATGTCATAGTCCCGCTGTTCACCAAATTGATCAGGCAGCACCTGGAGTGCTGTGTGCAGTTCTGGAGGCCTCAGTTCAAAAAGGATGTGGACAGAATGAAGTTGGTGCAGAAGACAACAACGATGATCAGGGGACCTGGAGACCAAGCCCTATGAGCAAAGGCTGAGGGACTTGGGAATGTTTAGTCTGGAGAAGAGGAGGCTGAGGGGGGACACGAATGCTCTCTTTAAGTCTTTGAAGGGCTGTCACTCAGAGGAGGGCAGGGAGCTGTTCCTGTTGGCAGCAGAGGAAAGGACTCGCAAGAATGGGTTTAGGTGAGTTAGTGTGAGATAGCTCACAGTTTTTTAGCCGCCGGCTCACACATTTTTGTCTTAGCTCAGGAAGGATGGCTCCAGAAGAAACTAATTTATGCAGTGGCCAAATCGCTCACCCACAACTTTAATGCCAGTAGCTCACAAAGTGGGATTTTTGCTCACAAGACTCCGCAGCCTAGAGGGAGCATGGGTGGGAAGATACCGGCTGGATATTAGGAAGAATTTTTTACAGTAAGAGTAGTTCAGCAGCGGACTCAGCTTCCTAGGGAGGTGGTGAGCTCCCCCTCACTGGCAGTCTTGAAGCAGCGGCTGGACAAACACTGGTCAGGGATGCTCTAGGCTGATCCTGCACTGAGCAGGGGTTTGGACTAGATGGCCCTTCCAACTCTATGATTCTAGGACTATAAGAGAGTTTGGCACTGCTTTGAAGAATGGCATGCATTTATTGTACCGGCCTTTGAAAATTGCATTTGATGAACGGGTTAAGAATGCCTGGATCCCAGCTCTAAACAAATGCAAAGTAATTGCTGGACCGCTCACCATTGCCCGTAATGCCTGGATAGCAACATTCCGCTGGAAACCCATGGAGACAATGATGGCCACCATCTCTTCTGGAGGCTGGTTATTCAGCCCAAGAGCCCCCGGATCCCCTAACCCCGGATAAGCAGCTGCTCCGTAGCCGGGAATGGCTAATGGCTCTGCAAAATCTAGAAGAGAGGCAAAGGCAAATATTCAGATCCATGCAAAGTGACCAGCCAGGGTGCTACCTTACAAAACATCTTTATCCATGAATAATGCAGGAGAAAAATGACCATCTCACGTAAATAAGCGTGACCTATTGGGGTCGTGCGGATAGGGACGGAAGAGGCAGAAGTTGCAAGGCAGCTGGTCAGTCCACTGACCAGCAAGGTTTAGGGCTGAAGCCCACATCCCACGAGCAGAAGGACCTGCCTGTCCATGAAAGATGACCACTAGTAGTTAAGAGTATTGGAATAGGGATCCGGGAGACTTGGAGTTCAAATTCTTGTTCAGCCATGAAATCTTCCTTGGGCCTCTAACCTTCTCTCAGCTTAAGCCACCTCACAGGGTTATTGTTAGGATAAAGCAGCGGGGGAGGGGGATGAGCATGAACACCACCCTGAGCTCAATGGCGGAAAAGTGGGATGAAAAGGTATTAGGGAGATTTTTGCCAGTTCCCCTTCTTGGAGCAGGAGACTGGATTTATACCCCGCCCTTCACTACTCAAAGGAGTCTCAGAGCGGCTTACGATCCCTTCCCCTCCCCGCAACAGACACCCTGTCAGGTAAGTGGGGCTGAGAGAGCTCTCTCAGGAACTGCCCTTGAGAGAAAAGCTCTGAAAGTACTTGTGACTGACCCAAGGTCACCCAGCTGGCTTCATGTGGCGGACTGGGGAATCAAACCCAGTCCGCACTGTTAACCCCTACACCATACTGGCTCTCCTACGTCACACCCCATGGTGTGGTCACGTCAACCCTTTGCAAGCCATCTTTCGGTGAGCACAGAGGGCAATGAGAAGGGGGAGGCAGGAGACATCCATTCCATGAGCAGAGTTCCTCTTGCAGATCTTTGGAACCTGTTGGAACCTGCGGGGTATAAATGTAGAGAAACGGGGCAGGGGAAAGTTCATAAACTGGAGGGGAGGCCTCATTCTCTTTCCATCTTCCAGGCCATCAAATCACTAACATAGATATATGTGAGCATCTGAGCTGGTAAAAATATCCATGGACTAACCGTCATGTAGAGTGTCAGAGTAGCATCTGGGAGAACCAGGTTCGAATCCCCACTCTACCACGCTGGCTCGCTGGGTCACCTTGGGCCAGTCACACCCTCTCAGCCTAACCTACCTCACAGGGTTATTGTTATGAGGAAAAAAATGGAAGAGGTCTACAACAGAGGTCTACATCAATTCCTGCTCTGTGATTCTGTAACAATAAGCCAATCCAGGAGAGGACTGTTAAGGAAACTGGGGTTTGTCTCCAGGGAAACAGAAGCATGGAAGAGGAGAAGAAGAGATTGGATTTATACCCCGCCCTTCACTACCCAAAGGAGTCTCAGAGCCGCTTACAATCTCCTTTCCTTTCCCTTCCCCTCCCCACAACAGACACCCTGTGAGGTAGGTGGGGATGAGAGAGCTCTATTGAGAACTGCCCTTGAGAGAGCAGCTCTGAGAGAACTTGTGACTGACCCAAGGACACACCAGCAGCTGCATGTGGAGGAGTGGGGAATCAAACCCAGTTCTCCCAGATTAGAGTCCACGCACTTAACCACTACACCAAAGGTGTCTCAGAGCGGCTTACAATCTCCTTTCCCTTCCCCTCCCCACAAGAGACACCCTGTGAGGTAGGCGGGGCTGAGAGAGCTAGTTTGAGAACTGCTCCTGAGAGAACAGCTCTGAAAGAACTTATGACTGAACCAAGGTCATCCAGCAGCTGCAAGTGGAGAAGTGGGGAATCAAACCTGGTTCTCCCAGATTACAGTCCGCGCACTTAACCACTAAAAGAAACATGTTTGTTAGATATGTGCACACCTCCACTGAGATGACAGACCTGGTTCTTCCATGTGGGCAATGATCCAGTTGAAAGCCACCTCAGCGCCCATGTTGCCGGTGTAGTAGACGGCCTTCCGACACGCTTCAAGCGGAAAACCCATTTCTGCTAGCTGCATGACCGAAGATTCGTCAATGTCTGGAGCTAAGAAAGAGAAGATGTTTCAGGCATCTAGACCACAAGCCAATCCTCCATTCATCAATAGACAGGACTATGGATGTCAAATATGGCCCAAAGCTGCGGAATTTACATAGAGTCTAAAATGTGGAACAAACCAATGGTTCTTGATTGCTAAAATGACGTTTCTAGTCCTCATGACTGTAGTAAAAACTTTAAGGTTGTCCGCAGCAGTTCTTGAATATTCCTGCTTATCAGAATCAAGCTGGACAGATGTGTGCTCCTGACAGCCCTGGACCCTTCCCTGTTACCTCAACATCCTTTCCCCCTCTTCTGATAGCAATTGCTCTTCCCTTTATTTCATTAGATACCGAACCTGGTATTAGATACCCAACCTCACACATTTCGCACATTTAGAAAATACATTCTCATTCGGTTAATCTACTCAGAGCACAGTTTGCCAGGACCAAAGTCTGGAGCGGCACACGATAACGATGGACTGTTCCCTCTTAAGAACAGTGTTATCGATTCAACACGAGTCAACGTCCATGTAAATTCCAACAACGATCTTGCATTTGCAGAGATCTGGTTTTGCTCCGAAGAGCAACAAAGCTCTTGGGACAGATCTGTCAGAGAAATGGCATTCCACAGCTCTTGGAAGTACAAGCACCGTTGCTGGTCAATCGCTAGTATGAACGACCACGAACATCTGTCGAGCCCCTCTGCCACTCGCCATGCAAGGTAACGTTCATTCCAACGGGAGGGGGACAGCGGCTGTGCAGACTTCTCGGTAATTCCAAAATACACAAAGATTTAAGCATCACTCACACAACATGGCTTGCCCGCAGCGACAAATGGACCAATCAGGATGAAGTGGAAGGGTGAGCAGACGGCACCTCACTTAGCTATTCAAGCTCAGACAGGCTTGCAGATGTAGTGTCCCCTCTAAGCAGAGTAAATGTGAGCTAGCTCACCGGTTTTTAGCCGCCGGCTCACAGATTTTTGTCTTCACTCAGGAAGGATGGGCTCCAGAGCAAACTAATTGATGCAGCGGCCAAATCGCTCGCTCACAACTTTAATGCTGGTAGCTCACAAAGTAGAATTTTTTGCTCACAAGACTCCACAGCGTAGAGGGAGCATTGGTTACTTATTACCTGGGTCCTGGATAAGCACTGAATGAGACATCAAGTGGCATATCCTGAGACCGTCTACATTTCTTTTTCCTTTAATTCAAGTTTTCAGTCCTGATATACGGGGGTGGGGTGGGATCACCCTCTTCCAAGCCTAACTAGGCACTGAATACACAGATTTTGTCCAAAACAACAGCTGTGTATCTAGTTTTCTCTTCTCCGTCTGTAAAAAAAAACTGGAGGAAGTTCTTGCACTGGCTCTCACCATCCTAAACGATTAGGTGCCACCTGCAAGCTTAGTCACTTTGCTGCTCCCCCCCCCCAATTCCAGATCATTTATGGACAAGCTTAATAGCACAGGGCCAAGTATCAACCTGTGCAGATCCCCACAGCCTACTTCTGTGTCCATCGCTAGAACTGCCCATTTATTTCTACTCTTTGCTTCCTGTTGTTCAGTCAGTTTCTAACTCACAAGAGGATCTATCCTCTTTTCCCAAGAAGATCTGTCTTCTCCCACTAAATTTAATCAGGGATCTTTGGCAAGAGACGCCATTAAAAGTTTTTTGGGAAGTCTAAGTATATAATACCCTGAGCTGGATGGCCCAGGCTAGCCTCATCTTGTTGCACGTCGGAAGCTCAGCAGGGTCATCCGTGGTTAGTACTTGGACAGGAGACCCCCAAGGAAGTCCAGGGTTGCTACACAGAGACAGGCAATGGCAAACCACCTCTGTTCATCTCTTACTTAGAAAACTCTGCAGGGTTGCCATAAGTCGGATGGTAAAGGTAAAGGTTCCCTTGCTCGAAAGCCAGTCGAATCCGACTCTAGGGTTGCGGTGCTCATCTCCGTTTCAAAGCCGAAGAGCCAGCGCTGTCCGAAGACGTTTTCGTGGTCATGTGGCCGGCATGACTAAACACCAAGGCGCCCGGAACGCTGTTACCTTCCCACCAAAGTGGTACCTATTTATCTACTTGCAATTTCTTGCTTTCGAACTGCTAGGTTGGCATAGGTCGGATGGACTTGACAGCAAAAAAGTATATGTCGACTAGGCCATCCTTTCCCACGTGTGTTATTCCCTCTCCAAGAACTCCAAAATGTGGGTCAGGAAGGACCTCCTTTGCAGAAGCCATACTGATCCTTCCTCTATAAGGCTTGTTCCTCAGTGAGCTTGATAAGTCTATCTTTAGCAACAGCTTCCACCAATTCACCCTGAACAGACTTTGGCCCAGCTGGCTGTAACTTCTTCCGTCATCTTGGGATTCCTTTTTAAAAACCAGCCATGCATCCCCTACATCCAAACCTCTGGAAGAGAGGCCTACAAGCTGCACATTTTTGTCAGATCAATAATTTCACATTTCAGTTGGTCTGAAGGTCCAACTCAGGCACTTTTATCTAAGAGACCATTCATTTGAAGCCTCCTTAAAGTACTAGATTTTCACATGCAGGGAAAGA